TGTTTTTGACCCTCAGATTAAATGAATCTAATGGTCAAAATTTGGACAAAGGGACAAATGTCCCATCTGATTTGAAAAACAGAGCTCCCTTATTATATAGATATATATATATATATATATATATCACTATACTCATTCTATCTCTCTTTTCTCTCACTCCCTCCGTGCGCTCTCTCTCTACGGTCGTTGATGCCTCTTTCTCTCTGCCTCTCAGTCTTTCTTTATCTTTCTCTTCATGCGCAGGTTAGCGATTTGGGTTGAAAGTAGTTCGGCGAGCTAGAGACAAGGAAGACGGAGCTCGCTGACTCGACTGTTGTATACGTACGTATGTATTTGTCTCGTGATCCTTGGAATCAATTTTAATCTCATCTCTCTCTAGATATGTATATGTATGTGTGTATATATGTGTATATATATATATAGGGGTTCAATCAACGATTATGGTTTACAAAGATGAAGTTAGAAGCAGCAACGGTGGCGATTTGATAAATCTGTCATCTGTTATATATATAGAGAGAGAAGGGGGTCTTCTTGGCTTAGTGTGAGACTCTGGAGTAGAGAGCTTCAGTGAAGCAAAAGCTTGGCCATCAAATCCTTAATGCAGATCTTCAAATCCTAATAGAAGTTGCTGATGTTGATAGAGATGGAAAAAGATTAAAGAGAAACGAGACGGTTGTGGGTGGTGGTGAATAGAGGGTCGTCGTCGTTGCAACTGCGTGAATTAGAGGAGACGAGTTTCAGAGTGTAGATGATGTAAATGACAGAGACGAAGAGGATGAGCCAGGTCATGAACTTGGGCATGGATCGATTTGATAAACTCATAACAGTAATGATGATAGGTTTCTCATCTGATCCCAAACCACCTTCTTTGAATCTCTCTGGGTTACTTTCATGGTGCGAACAAGAAGAAGAAGAACAACAACAACAACAACAACTACTGCTACAAACAACAAATTGAGCTATGGTTTTGAGATAGTTTACCAGATCTACGCAATGGGGTTTTTCCTTTGAATTATCTATTACAAAAATTTGGAGAAGAAAGAGATTTTAGAGAGAGTTTGAGCATAAGAAATAGTTACAGGCATTATATGTATGTGTTTATATATATATATATATATATGCGTAAATTACACTTACCTCCCTTAAAGGGTAGTATTGGAATTTGAAAATTAATTATGAATGACATCTGCAGAATTTATTTGAATTTGGATGGATGGATAACATAAGGGGGTATTTGTATATTAGTTTCAAAAGTATGAAAGATTTGTGTTATTTTTGAAACTACAAAAAAAATCTCTGTAATTAAAATAAACTTCAGAAGAGGTCAGTATAATTTAACCTACATTTATTTATTTTTTAAAGGAATAAAAAAATTATTCTAACAATACAAGAACTATATTTAAATGAGGGATAGATAAATAGTACTATTCTCAAAACGCGTATTTTTAAATCGTTTTTAAAATGTAGTCTCGTCAATTGTGATATGATATGACAGATCTGACAAAATAATTCATTATTAAAAAAGTTTTATCAAAGAAAAATAACATTGCACTGGGATATAAAATAAATAAATAAATAAATAAATAATTACAAATTTATGATAAATAATATATATATTAAAAATTATAATTATATTTTTTTTTTTAATTTTTTGTGTAATTAATTTCTTCTATTATCGCTATGCAGTAATTGTTCCCTATAAAGGTCTATTTTGAGAAGATGATAAAAAGTGATTTTTTGACTTTTAATTAAATTTTTGATTTTTTTGGACAAATAATTTGAAAAGTTGATAAAAAGTTATTTTTGACTTTTTTTATTAATATTTGTTTATGACATCAAATCACAATAAAATGACCAAATTACTCTAATTAATTTAAAATATTTACAACTTCACTTATGTAGCACATTTTTACTCATGAGGGATAAAATTGTAATTTTACCAGTAGTTAAAAACCAACTTTCCAAATTAAAAAAAAATATAAAAAAATCAACTTTTGACTTTTGCTACAAATCAAAAAAAAGTGGCTAAAAATCAATTTTTCAAAACAGTCCAAAACAGATCGGGCTAACAATGGATAGGGGTGTTTGGAAAGCTCGGGTTTGGCCTTTTTATTTTTTTAATTAAAATTTATGAAAAAATAAAATAAATTAAAATAATTAATAAGATAAAATATCATATCAAATTCATAATCATTTTTTTCTTACCAACATCACATTCAATTACAAAAAAAATCAATTATCTTTTTAAACACAAATATTTTAAGTCTATTAAAATAATCAAAAACTAAGGGTTGGTTTAGGATATTCTAAAAAAGTGCACTTTTTGACTTATTGACTTATATGGGTTGGATTTGATATGATGTGTTAGAAAGGTGATGTGATTTGAATAAAATAATATGACTTAAATAGAATAGTGACTTTTTGTATTATTTAGGCCTCGTTTGGGAACAGACTAATTTAGTAACTTTTTGGCTATTTGACTAAAAAAGTAGGTAAAAAAACTTATATGTTTGGGATGACTTTTTGGCTAATTACGAAAAGATGTGCAAAAAGTAGAGAGAAAAGAGAATCTTTGACTTTTTGGTATGAGTTGTTGACTTTTTGGCTAAAAAGGTAACTTTTTAACTTTTTGACTAAAAAGGTAAGCCCTCAAACGGGACCTTAGTAAATGTTAAACTTGACCTAAAATAACTTATTAAAATAACTAATTCCCAATAGACCGATACGTAGGGATGGGACCCACGTCTGCCCCCAACAAAACAAAAGAAAATATTTAAAATTTGAGAAATATTAAGAACATATGTTTGTCTGCACTGAATGCACAACTCTTTGACATGGAGGTGGGGTTTACACATGTGAAAAGATTGTGGCCTTGTTTGGTTTGTGTTTCTCAAAAAATTTTGAGAAAAATTCTCTACAAATAAGTTTTCAAAAGTAATCAAACCAAACAAATTTTCCTAAAAATTTTTTCCAAAACTTGTTTGGTTTACAAATTTTCCAAACAAATCTCTCTCTCATACACATCAAATCAATCACTTTTTCCAAAACTCTCTCAAAATAATTTTTCAAAACATCTTTTGAAAAAAAAAAACCAAACCAAACAAATTTTCGTACTTTTTATCTCAAAACATGTTTCTCAAATACAAACCAAACAATGCCTGTGTATTTCTAGCATTTCCCTTAAAACTCCTAAAAGAACTTTTCTATTTTGACTCGTATGATGTGACAGGATATGTATTAAGGCTTGGTTTGGGGTACATTAAATAATATAAAAAGTCAAAAAATCACTATCTTATTTAAGTCACATTATCATTTAAGTAACATCATCTTATTTAAATCATATCACATCTCTAATACATCATATCAAACCCAACCCATATAAGCCAATAAGTTAAAAAGTACACTTTTTTAGAACATCCCAAACCAACCCTAATTTTTGATTTCTCGTACACTCAATTATATAAAGTCTTTTTTTTTTTTTTTGGATTAGAGAAAATTAGTGATTAGTTATTAAAGGGCCAAGCTTTTCTTCAGTTCAAAATCGGACTAAAGTATGTTATTGGGCTCATAGGGACCTATCACGGGTCTTGTTTTAATAATTCAAACTGTTTAATGTATAGAACTCATCAAGTATTTTATCTATATAAAAAATAAAATTGATCGGATATCGATAGCTACTTGATCGGATCAAATTTCTATCAACGGTAAATATAATTTTCAAAATAAATTGTTGACAAAAATCGAATTCGATCAAGTAACTATCGATATCCGATCAACGTGTTTTTTTGCAAGAATAAAGTAATCAACGAGTTATACACATTGAACAATTTAGATTATCAAAACAAGACTCGTGATGGGTGCCACAGGCCCAACAACACCGTCCAATCTACAAAGTGAACTGGAGACAGACCCGGCCCGTTGTTAAATTAGCACGTAAGACCTCCACTAACTGCTAAGACCATCTTCAACGTATCATCAATTCTTTCATCAAAATTCAAATTTAAATTCGATGAAAAACCATCATTTTTCCTGCTCTAATTATTTCATCAGATTAGTATCAAATTGAGAATATGACAAATCTTTCACCAAATTGAGAATGGCTAGGAGTTTTCATCAAATAATAGTTGTTGGATTTTTACCATTAGATGTCCACGCAAATGTCTCCTGGGATGACCACCTCTTTGCAAAAATTTATAAAAAAATTGCACTAGCTGGTCGACCGGCCGGACATCCGTCTGGTGAACATGAGACAAACCTGACCCATTGTTAAATTTGCACGACATACCTGACCCATTGTTAAATTAGCACCTTAGACCTTCACTAACTGCTAAGACCATCTCCAACGTATCATCAATTCTTTTATCAAAATTCAAATTTAAATTCGATGAAAAACCATCATTTTTCCTACTTTAATTATTTCATTAGATGAGTATCAAATTGAGAATATGATAAATCTTTCACCAAATTGAGAATGGCTGGGAGTTTTCATCAAATCACTGTTCATAGTTGTTGGATTTTTACCATTAGATATCCACCAAAATGTCTCCTGAGATGACCACCTCTTTGTAAAAATTTATAAAACAAATTACACTAGTTGGTCGACCAGCCGGACATCCATCTGGTGGTCTGCCCAGTTAATCGGTATTTTGATAAAATTTCAAAATCCTCTAATAGAGCACATGATATCAAATAAAAATTTTATTTAAATTTTTACTCAAATTTATACATTTTAGTCAAAAAAATTAAAAAGTCACTATAATTTGTCGCATCACTCTCTTTATCTTTTGTGTATCATTTTGCAAAAAATCAAAAAATTATTAAAATAACATATTCCCAAATAAAACCTTAATATAAAAAAAAGATACACGGGTAAAAATACCCCAAGATGATGTTAAACACTGGTTCTAGCTTCTCCAAAAAAGATGCTCCCTAACATTGAGTCCGGATCCTCAGCCGCATTACCTTGCAGCACTCCCTGCCGCCCTCAAAAACGACGTTGTTTTGGATAAGTTTTTTTTTTTTTGGCCCCTTCTTGTTTTGCTTTCCCCCTTTTCGTTTTGAACCCTAGCCTCTGAGAGAGAGAGAGAGGCGATCTGGGTTTGATTTCTCATGTGTTTGATTTCTTGGGTTTTCTGAAGCTCCAAAGATGAACAAGAAGATTGAACACAGCACCAGGAAACAAGCAAACTAATCAAGCTGTCGCCAAGATCCAACTCCAACTCCAAGATCCCTAAATCTCCAATCAGATGGACGATCGAAGGGAAGAACACAGCACCAGGATACAAGCAAACTAATCAAGGCATCGCCGCCGCCTCCACCATTTTCGATTGGATTCTTCACTGGTAAATTTGTTTTTTTGTTTTGATTCATTCAAACATTCATTCCCAGGCTTGATATTTTTTTTGATTCATTCACTTCACTTCACTCCTCATATTTTTGTTTGATTTCCTTTTTTTAAAAAATGGGATTTCGTTTACAATGGAGGTTGATAACAATTTTAGTTATGATTTTCTAAAAAAAGTTGGGTTTTGTTATGATTTTTCTTTTTAAAAAAAGTAGGTTTTGTTTTGATTCACTTCAAAAAATAAATAAATAAATAAAAATAAATAAAAATTGGATTTTTGATCATCAATCAATTATGAGCAAGAATGATCCTCAAAGTTTTGTTGGTTTTATCTAATTCTGTTGTTAATTCTATTCTAATTTCCCAACTTCTCTTTTTGTTGCAAACCAACTTTTTGATAAATGTCTTGAGAGATTACAATAACTATCATACCATTGATTACTATCAATGAAGAAAAAAAAAATCTTAAATGTCTTCATATAGGAAATGGGAAATATGATTTTCAAATAATTTGAGAACCATGATTTGTTGATAATTTGATGTAGGTAATGATAAAAATGAATTGGCTGAACAAAACATTGGTTCAAAAATTATGGAGTGAGACTCTATATTAAAAAGTGTATTAACTCATCCAAAATTATTATAACTTCATTATTTTAAATCAACTACAATTTAAATTCGGACTCAAGTAATGATGAATTCAAATCAACAATCTTTGATCCTTAGGATTTTGCTACCTCTATCCCTTGTTGGAAAGGCTCACTTGATGGTGAGTTCTTTACTTCGATGGCCTATGATGTGATTAGAGGTTGCACCTTTGGAAACTCAAAATCCCTTCTAAACTCAAAATGTTTAGAAGGCTCACTTGATACTTTGGGATATAATACTGTTTCAATTAAAATTTGTGTAGGAGCTTTTAAAATTTGTGTTAGTTGCTTTAACATTTGTCTTAGTTCCTTTTTTGTTCTTTTGTTTTCTTTACTTCTGACTTGCAAGCTGCATGAAAAATCAAAGGTAAGTTGTTCAATCATTTCACTAGTCATGAAATCCACTTTTCATACATTACATTAAGTATGCCATTCAAGCATACACGATCCTTTAGATACTGCATATTTAACAAGTCATTCACGCTCCACACCTTTCATGTTTATTTGCCATCAACTCATTATGCTAGGTTGGAAAAGTCAAGTTTTGATATGGATATTTTAACTTCAACGAACGGCCCTACATGTAAGTGTTTGAAGTGTGAATTCAAACTGTGCTATGTTTCCCTTCATATTGCCATATAGAGGGCTTCAAAGATGAAAAAAAATTGTGTTTATTTTGAGAGACATGTTAATTTGTTTAACACATTTCCTCAAGCTTTGTATTTTCAAACCCTGACGTGAGTTCAGAAAAGTGTAGTTCAATCATTTCATACAAAATCAATTTTTCATTTCATGACTAGTTTCTTTAACAGGGGATTGCAAGCTCCATAAAAAATCAATTAACCAACAAAATCATTTCTTTGAGCTACAACTCTGCCAAAAGAAACTAATATAACAAAATTCAAAGTGCAGAAGCATAAATTAGTGAATCAATTTGGCTACAAACACTGAAGGTAAGTAGTTCCTGTAAAAAAAATTATTGGTAAACCAAAATTTCCTCATGATTAACTAATCACGTGTTTCAAAAATGTATTTTTCACTGATATTATGTTTGAAATACATGCTAATCATTATATACTTCTTGATATTATAGCCTCGGAGGAGCAGACTAGTTTGAGCAGCCTCGGAGGAGCACATATGTTTTTGAGGCTTCAAGGAATGGCACTTACCAGAGAAAGAAACCAAGACACAACACCGATAGGCCAAAAAAAAAATGAAGATACTGCATCCAAAGGAGATGAAGTTGACACCTGAGATCACTTTTGGGGGTGCTTGTATTTGTATGGGGTCTCATGTAGTTTTTATTTGTACAAAACAACCTTCTATCTTTCTTTGTTTGTATTTGTATGGGGTCTCATGTACTTGTATTTAACTTAAAATTTTATTTTGTTTCAATTTGAAAGCTCAAGAAATTTTATAGAGGTCGATACTTGCTATCATTTACTTTCTTGGTTAGACTAAATACTTGATAACATTTGTAGCCCAATGGTACACAAGTATACTAAGTAGGGGTGGGCGCGGGTCGGTTGCGGCTACGGAACCTCCAATCCGCCATCCGTCCGCCAGATTGACGAATTGAAGAAAATCAATCCGTATCCGTCCGCCAATCCAGCGGATGAGGAATGAGCGGATTGGCGGTTTGGCGGATGGATGCGAATCGGTTTGACAGTTTGAAATTTTATAAATTTTCAATATAGTTCAACTTGTGCACTTCCTCAAAAAAAAAAAAGAGTATTACAGTCAATGATTTAAAAAAGTATTACAACTACTGCATGCCTCATCCAAAGAAAGAAAGTTTGAAACTTTAGATTATTACAATCACTACATGCCTCATCACTTAAAAAAGTATTACAATCACTGTATGCCTTATCCAAAGAAAAAAAGTTTGAAACTTTAGAATATCACGATCACTGCATCTCTCATCCACATATTACAATCACAGCATGATTCATTCCCATAAAGTATTACAATTTGTGATTCTTAAAATATAATAACAATTCAAACCACCAAAACCATGAACGGAGCAGAGATTGAATGTCTCTGTATTGTTACATCTACATATGTTTTTGCAAACAAAAACCAACCAGCATATATCATATTTTCTATTTATTATTTTTAGAGTTAGATTTAAAAACTAAAAAATATAGATGAATAATACGTTTATTTTTTTCAATGCAAAAAATATATTCAAGTTGAAAACTTTTTTTCAATAGAATATTTAAATTCTTTTTTAATTGAAAACACAAACATAATATTTAAACAAATTGAAAATACAAAGTCTTATAAATTATTATGGGTGCTTGCGATTTGGCGGTTCGGTTGCGGCCAAAAAATCTCAAATCCGTCATCCGTCCGCCAAATTGGCGGATTGGAGAAAATCAATCCGCAACCGTCCGCTCGTCATCACGCATCCGTCCAAAATGCGGCGGATTGGTTCGGTTCGGTCGGTTTTGGCGGATCGGTATATACGCTGCTCACCCCTAATACTAATATAGTTGTGTTTTGATTCATGTGTGTTTCTCACAACATTGTAATTGAATCTGTTTTCAATAGCCATTTCATATGGAGAAATAGTTTTTCTTTTTCTTTTTCTTTCTTTAATTGAAAATTGAGCTTCTTACTTAAATTCAAATTTAAATTTATAATCCAAACACAATCAAAATTAATTCCTAGGAAGATGAAAATAAAGAAACTGGAAACATTAAACTCACAAATCAATTAAGTTATATCTTCATGAATAGCCAAACAAAATTGTAACAGATTGATGTTCAATACCAATGTATAAACATATCAATTACCATAGACAACAAAAAAACAGACTAAACAACACCACCTAAACATTAATTCTAACAAACCAAAAACTAATTAGCTCAGTTGAATTCCCATCCATCAATTAGTAGCCCATCTAATAGTTTAAAGTATCAAACATCATCTTCTTCTTGCAACTGGTCACAAGTTGATAGCATCTGCCCAAACCCTCACCTAAATTGTTGACTTGTCTCCAAACCTCCAGTTACATCACAAGTGTTTAGATTAATAACCTGACAAATAAAAAATATAAATGAAGTTAACAAGGATCAATTTAATAGTCTGTTTATTGAAAACCAATTAAGTCAGAAAGAAAATTTTAGTTTGCAACAAAAATTCTTCAAGATCATTGTATATCAAGATCATCTCTCAAGACATTTATCAAACAGTTGGTTTGCAACACAAAATATAATACAAATCACAAGAAATGCTTCCAAAATGAAAAACAGAAATTTCAGTAAAAAAACAAAGGGGTCTATAAAAGCACTTTCATACCCACTCTAGAAGAACCGGCATTAGAAAGAGAGAGAGAAAAAAAAGCACAAGCAAAGCAAGTGAGGTTTGAACAAAGGCAGAGAAGAGAACCCAAGTCTCCATATCTTTATCTCGATCTTAAATTTTCAAAATGAGTACCATGAAATTTTGCCACAAATGGTCAGTTCTTCAATCCTCCATTTTTCCACATTCACACTCACAGGTATGTATGCATATATATATATATATATATATGGTCATTCACTTGTACATAACAGCAAGAAATGAAAATGATGATGAAATGGACCTCGTCGCGTCCCTCCACCATCTCTCTCCGTCGTGTTCCACCGTCTCTCCGTCGCTCTCTCTCTCTGTCTCGCATCTGTCTGTTCGGTTCTGTGTTAGGGCTAAACACAGATGAAAAAGTAAGGCCTCGTTTGGGAACCCTCATTTTTAGCCAAAAAGTCAAAAAGTTACTAAATTAGCCAAAAAACCAACAACCCATACCAAAAAAGTCAAAGATTCTCTTTTCTCTCTACTTTTTGCACATCTTTTCGTAAAAAGCCAAAAAGTCATCCCAAACATACTAGTTTTTTTTAGCTCATATTTTAGCCAAATAGCCAAAAAGTTACTAAATTAGCCTGTTCCCAAACGAGGCCTAAGAGATGAAAGAGTAAGAGATGGGGGAAACTCAAAATTTGAAGGAAAAAAAAAGGAAAGAAAGAAAGAAAAAACGACGTCGTTTTTGACAGGGCCACTGGAAGTGCTGCGGGAATGTGTGGCCGATGATCCGGAGTCCCCTAACATTAACCGGTTTTTATATTAAAAAAAAAAAAAACCAATTTTTTTCCTTCTTTGTTTTTTTGACGACAAGCATTTTGTTACCTTCATAATTTGTGCAAGTATTATTAAGAAAATTACAATAAAGCCCTTTTAATAGTGATCCAATTTTAGGAGAAGTTATTTGATACCCGTTAATTTCCTTCAAGGGTGACATGGACAGGCCCACGAGGCATACAGCCCACGGCAAACCACCCCGAACCCATCGCTTTGGACCCATAGCATAACTTGGTTGGCAAAGCCCAAGACAGTTGGAGGCCACCTGGACGTGGAGGGCCAAGGGCATTCGGACACATGACAGATGACACACAGGCCACATCAGCAGACAAAGATCTGCAGAGTTATTGCCACAACACATCACCATTAATGCAGCCCATCACAGCATTTATTACGACAACACCTCCCCGTCGGAACAGAGCCCCCTCACCCTGAACAAGGTAAGATACGGCACAGGCTTTCGGCGGAAAGGAGGCACGTCACAAGGGACAGTGAAATGATTACCAAAGGATATAAGCAACAAGAGAAGCACAAGAAAAAGGTTAAGCTTTTTATCTCTCCATCTTCTTCCCTACATCTTCCTGTTTTCCTCCACTAATTCTCTCGCCGGAGAGTTCACTGGGGGACTGCCCCGTTCCCCTTTGGACTTGCTTGCAGGTCATTTGACGGAATCACCACCCAAAACCGGAACCTGAAGAACCTGGGCTAGCCTGACCCATCCACCCGGGACGGACTGTATCATCAAAGGGTATAAATTACAACGGGTATAAACACCATTAATTTGTATATGGTACATGAATATGTACCATAAACTTAGCAAAAAATTACAAATATAAACTATAAAAACTTCATGAAACATTCACAAATAATCTAGTATGGCAGGCAATAAAATAAGAAATAAAAATTATAAAAATTTCATGAAACATTTACAAATAATCTACTATGGCAGGCAATAAAATAAGAAAAGAGACTTACTTTAATATAAGTATATTTTAATTTTGTAAATAATATAAACTTAGTTTTATGTTATACTGTTCTATGATTGATAGGTTATAACTTTAGTGTATGATTGCATAACATATAATAAAACACTACAAATTAATTTAAGGGTGAAGAATTTTCATAAAACTTTTTCTGATATTTTTTTTCATGAAGAATAACATTAAGGGGTTGTTTGGGATGATCTAAATAAGTGTACTTTTTGACTTTTTATGAAATATGGATTGGGTTTGAAGTGATGTGTTAGAGAGGTGATGTGACTTAAATAAGATGATGTGACTTAGGGCTGGTTTGGGATGTCCTAAAAAAGTGCACTTTTTGACTTATTGGTGGGTTTGGGTTGGGTTTGATGTGATGTGTTAGAGAGGTAATGTGATTTAAATAAGATGATGTGACTTAAATAAGATAGTGACTTTTTGACTTTTTGACTTATTTAGTACATGCCAAACTAGCCCTTAATATGATAGTGACTTTTTAACTTTTTTCAAACATTTCAAACCATCTCTAAATATTTAAGACCATTTCTCTCTCATAACTTTTTTAATAATCGTCCAATTATTTTTTTATACATTACTAAATCAAGAAAATAGACTTATATATCATTTTATTTTTATTTTTTTATTTGAACTAAAGGATTGTTATGTATCACACTTTTTTTTCCCATTTTTTTAAATGATGTTATTTGTTTTCATTATTTTCTTAATTATTGTTTCTAAATAAGAAATGAATCTTAGTGATACAAAATTGTAATAAAAAACCCTTAACATATAACATTTCTCTTTGAGTAAATACTAGATGTAACTATTTAGCCTTGGTTTGGTTTTTATGTTTGTTCTAAATAAGCATATAAGGATAAAAAAAAATTACAAAATAACAAAATATTTGATTTAGGACGTAAAATTATCAAATTAATCCATATATAAATAAAAAGTAAAAAAAGTATTATTTTCAAATTGAGGACAATTTTATCATTCCAATGCAAAAAGTAAAAAAAGTCAAACAAGAAAAATAAAAAAATAAAAAAATCTCAAATTAAAAAAGTCAATATCGCCAAACGCCCCCCACGTAGAGGCATCCGTACTCTATGTAAAGAGCACATACATAAAGAATCAAGTATACACAGTCTTTGATATAGAAATACGATTGATCTTATTTGGTTTTAATTTTTTTAATTCAATTTTTAAAAAAATTAATTTTTGATTTTTTATATTTTTTATTTTTAGTGATTTTTTTTAATATTGTAAGTAATTTTTTTTACCTTTTAGATACACTTAATATAAATATAATTAAAAAATATAATATTTGTGAAATTTTTTTTTAAAAATTCACTAAGTACTAAAAATATAAAAAAAATATCAAAACTTAATATATTTTTTGTATTTTTGTGTATTTATTAATTTTTTAAAATATTTTTTTCACAAATATTTTACTATTTAGATATATTTAAATAAAGCGCATCTAAAAAAGTAAAAAAAATTTAAAATTTTAAAAATATTTACTACATACAAAAAAATGCGAAAAATAAAAAACTCAATTTTCAAAAAACTAAATTCAAAAAACTGAAACCAAACACATGAAATAATGTTACTTTCACTTACAGTCTTATTAACAATCTTAAAGTGTACATCTTCAAATATCATTATTTTTTGTATACTGTAATCAATTACATTTGACCTCTCATATTTTTAATAAGAATATTAGTCTCGTTTGGGATAGTTTTTTTAGCCTAACTTTGCCTGTGTTTGGCAAGGGCTTTTTCAGGCTTTTTTGGCTATTTTAGCCACAAAAAACAAAATAGGCTATTTTAGCCATAACAAACAAAACATCACATCCAACCTATAATCATTACATTCTTCTCTCACAAAAAAAGTCAAAAAAGCCAAAAAGCCAAAAAGCCAACCCACTTCCCAAACGGAGGCT